ACGAAGAGGGTGATTGCTCGGATATCCCTTATTATTTTCTGTAGGAGTCGAGTTAGAAAGAGTTGTAACCTGCTCCCTAAGTTTCAGATTTTGATTAGTTGCTGTGACCAATAATATAGTGATTTGCTTGAATGGTTCATCTCAGGCTGCCACACTTAATAAGGTTGCTTATGCTGTGGAGTAGTATCTTTCCCTAACATGCTAACCTGTTAAATTGAAATTCCCTCCCTTTCGGTTCATTAGAGTTTGAGTTTACTCACTACCAGTACAACAAGAAGCTTTCAAGATAACCAGTGTGTGTAAAAACTACATATCATTTTAAGTTTAAGAAATATTTAGGGTAACACAAAATTTTGAATTCCACGGAATTGGAACTAGTTATATCAATTCCGAGGAATTAAGATGGAATTTCCAAATGAATTCCACAAGTATTTACTATTTTTAATAGAATGATATAATTATCCTATTTTATTAACTAAATTACTTATACATATGACATACCAAACACAAGAATTCATTTGACAATGAATTCTACACCGCAATTTATTGTATTTCTAAAGATTTGAATATGACATACCAAACACAAAGATTTCATTTGAGAATGAATTCTACACGGTAATTCATTTTACAATGAAATGAATTCTTGATTCATTTGGTACCAAACAGTCTGTTATAATTAGTAATTTCTTGTGGAATGTTCCATCTCAATTCCTCGGAATTGCTATAACTAGTTACAATTCCATAGGATTCAAAATTTAGAATTGAAAATGAATTCTTTTGAATACCAAACACAAAAATATTTCATTTCAAAATGAATTCCTCAAAACTTATTGAATTCATTTATACCAAACGGTATGTAAGAACTTACTTTAATTTGAATTGATTCTCTCTGCCTTCTCTCTAGCCGGTTCCATTTTCTTCTTTCCCGGGGCTGTCGCCGGCTCCTTTTTTGGTGACCGGCGGCAGCTCAAGTCCCCTCCTTCCTTGCTTTCCTTTCCTTGCATGATCCTGCTTCTCTTAGCTTCGTTCTAGGTGTTTTTCCCTCGGATTGCAGTCGTTTCCCCCCCTCCCCCCCCCCCCCCTTTCTAGCCAATATGGATTTCCAGTTTACAGCCTTTATGGCCTTTCAGTTTCCAGCTGATCTGGATTTTCATCTTTCACTCCGGTTGAGCTTTATGCTCTTCGGTCATTGATTGGGGTTCTTGTTCGCGGCTTGCTCATGTATGGATCCAGAGTTGGCAGCTTGGGAGCCTCGTCGCGCTCTGTTTTGGTGGTTGATGCTCCCAGGCTGGTGGTTTCATCTTTTTGGTGTAGTCATTCCTTACGTTTTCCCTTCCGATCTCCCCTTGTTGTCTGAATGTTGCTTGGCCGTTCATCGGATTGTGGTGGGTAGGGTCTCCACTAGGTGATTTTGGTCATTGTCCGGTGTTTCCTCAGAGTTTGGGGGCTCGATTTCAATCTTCTGCTCTCTATGGATTGACCTCTCTGCCTCGACTCCCTGTGCCTTTTCAGCTCGAAGCAATTTTGTTTCACATCCTTGCCCACCGCCATGTAATTTCATTTATGAGATTTACAGTGTTGGATTCCTTTGAGTTTTTCCCAGGAGGCGGCTTATGACATTGCTTTACTCAATTGTTATGGACTTCGGTGTGATCGGACGAACTAATCTTGATCTTGTTGCTACTCTGTTTGGTTCGGATGCGAGAGAGGTTTGGAATGTTTTGGTTTTGGATCAAGTGTTCGGTCCCTTTGGGTTGTTGATTTCACTCAGTATTTTTCTCTTATTTGATGTATCTCTCAAGCACAGTTTGTGTCAGTTGTTTGCTTTGAGGTGCCTTTGCTTGGTTTGATTCCATTGTTTTTCATTTTCCCTCTCTGTAACCGATCATTCATAGTGCAATGCAAGATTTTTCACTGTGAGAAAAACGGTATGTAAGAATATTTTCCTTTTTCTGAATTTCGAAAGTAGTCCCTCTGCTTTTCCTTTCTACCAAAATTGTTAAGTTATCAAGCGCTTTTTATTTTATTTTTTTCAATATACACTTCATAGTCAAAACTTTCATTTTTGTGACAATTATAGCCACAACTTTTCATAAACACAAAATAGTCACTTACGTCCATCCCTTTAACGGTGTCACTTAATAATATGACGAGACTAACGGAAATTCTATGTTGGCGATCCACGTGGATTAAAAAAACAGCAAAATACACTTCTATAGTCACAACTTTCACGTTTGTGACAGTTATAGCCACAACTTCCGAAATACACAAAATAGCCACTTCCATCCATCTTTTTAATGGTGTCACTTAACAGTATGACTAGAGAAAGGGGGCCTTATTTCCCAGATCATAGATTGAGATCCCCAATCTCTAGATTGAAGAAAAAGGCCTGAGAAGATTGGTGGAGTCACAAAAAAAGGCGAGAAAGAGGGCAAGAAGGCTGATGGGAAGAAGCTCGATGACAACCGCGAAGAAGGAGGCATCGACAGTGACAAGAAAGAGGAGACAGTGTCTCTGATGTCGACATAAAACTGATGGGTCAGGAAGGAAGAATGTGGCAGCTCGTAGTTCATTTCCCCCTCCAATTCCTCAAATTCGCCGCGGTTGCGGTTGTTCTTGTTTTCGGTGAAGCTTGATTCGCCAGATTCAATTGGCTCGATTTGTTGTATTCCCTCTCAACCAAAGCCTCGATAAGAAATCGAGGACATGGTCGCGATTGCTTCGTGTATTTTGAGAATTTGTAATGGAAATGACTAGATTTGCCAAACAACTGTAAAAAATCTGGCTATTTCTTGTATTTCAAAAGTTGTGGCTATAACCATGGTTCACGAAACCGTACCGGACATCATACCGTATTCCTTTCTGGTAGGGTATTTTGTGTTACAACCGTGGTTCAATCGTTTTGTACTGGTAAATACCGTTCTTGTAATAATAAAATATTTTTTCAATAAAAAAACGTGCCGTCAAAATTAGAGTACCGTTTCGGAATAATACCAGAATATACCAAAATTACCGGATATAAATAAATATTAAATAATTATTAATTAGAGAACTGTCCCCACCCGTCACGGGAGCGGATCTTGTCAGTAACTGATGGGTCAGTAACCCATCAGTAACCCCTCTCTCCACGTGTCAGTCCACTTTTTTATTTAAATTAAATGCGGAAGGGCAGTAAGGTAAAATGCACTTATCCCCTATTTATTGCTGACGCGCTGACTTTTTACCGACCACATCAGTAGCTCCTTCTCTCTCATCGAAAAACCTTTAATTTTCCTTCTCTTAATCTTTAACGGACGATTTCTCACTCGTTTTAAGTCGAAATTTAATTTTTTTTGCACAGTTAGATCAGATTAATTATGCTTTTCAAAATGATATCCACTTTGATATTTTTTTGACACAAATTTTTTTTCCAGTTATTACCAGTCTATACCATATGGTATAGTGTGGTAATATCAATATATATTTCGTTACCACCCATTACCATATGGTATAGTGTGGTAATATCAATATATATTTCGTTACCACCCAATACCATATGGTATAGTGTGGTAATATCAATATATATATCATTACCACCCAATACCATATGGTATAGTGTGGTAATATCACACAATACCATATGGTATAGAGTGGTAATATCAATATATATTTCGTTATCACGCAATACCATACATTACCATAGGGTATAGTGTGGTAATATCAATATATATTTCGTTACCACCCAATACCATAGGGTATAGTGTGGTAATATCAATATATATTTCGTTATCACCCAATACCATATGGTATAGTGTGGTAATATCAATATATATTTCGTTACCACCCAATACCATATGGTATAGTGTGGTAATATCAATATATATTTCGTTACCACACAATATCATATGGTATAGTATGGTAATATCACACAATACCATATGGTATAGAGTGGTAATATCAATATATATTTCGTTACCACGCAATACCATACATTACCATAGGGTATAGTGTGGTAATATCAATATATATTTCGTTACCACCCAATACCATATGGTATAGAGTCATAATATCAATATATATTATCTAAAAGGAAAAAAAAAACAGAAGGAGGGAGAGAAAAAATCGTCTTCTGATGCCTCTCATTTCCTCTTCCTCAATCAAGAACACCAAAATGCCAAAAAAACGAGAAAGATCGGAATTGAGGCCAACGAGTTGATGAAGAGAAGAAATGCAAAGAAAGATAGTGGCTACAATTTTTATTCGTCGATTGCTAGAGAAAAAAATGAAGAAGGAAGATAGCAGATCTAAATTTGAAAAGGAGATTGTGAAAGAAAAAGTAAGAGAGAAGGAATAGAGAAAGAGAAAAGATCTGGAAAGAGATTGAAAGAAAAGAAGAGAGAAGGAAGAAAGTTGAGTTGCAGAGAAAATGCATTCTCTCTTTCATTGAAAAGTCAGCCATTGAAATGCGGAATGAATAAAAAAAATAAAAAATACAAAAACGGACAAAAATGCCCCTCCCCACTCCACATCCAGCCCAGCCGTAGGATTGCTCCATTCCCAATCCTACGGCTCCCGTGTGGTTACTGATGGGTCAGTAACCAGTGGTTACTGACCCTATCTTGGACCACCCGTCACTTTATTTCTTTCATTGTTACCCCATGTGTGTCTTTTGCTTTCCTCTTTTTCTTTCCTTTCAGAGACTCACGCCTCTATCTCTTACTCTCCTCTTTCCTCCCAATCTCAAACCTTCTGCTCTCTCACCTACTCAATTCCTCAATAGATACTCGTCGAGAATTGATCATCACCGGACCTATATATTACAACGTTGGCTGGAGCGGAGATCGTGGCTGGGTGGGCTTTTCATCAGTGGCCGGCGAAGGGCGACCTCGGCCAGGGGCGTCGCTGGGAAGGACGACTCGGCAACGGTCGCCGGGAAGGACGAATCTTCGGAGGTCACTTCTCGAATGACGACCTTTGTTTCCCGTTAGCACTTAGCAGGCGACAGAGCAAGTTTTTGCTACATGCAATTTGGGAACGGCGAGCTTCCTTCTCTAATCTCTTCAGATCCACAGTTCGCACTCAGCACAAGCGACGGAGCGGCGAGCCCTTTCTCCCGATTGACGAACGATGACTACCCGCACGGATCGGGGCAGTTCGCACTCAGCACAGGCGACGGAGCGGCGAGCCTTTTCTCCCGATTGACGAACGACGACTACCCGCCCCGATCGGCGGAGGAGACGAAGAGCTGGGTAGAGTTGGAGTAGGTAGTAGCAATGGGAATTTGTGATTTTTCCTTTTTTTTCGTTTTCTTTTGAAAAACGATGTAGTTTTGTTCAGTCAAGTTTATTTTTCTATTACTCTCAACAAACCGCCGGTTGGTTCAAAACCGGGCGGTATTACGCGAAATGCCGGTACAATCTAAAAAACCGGCCGGTATGTAAATCTCCCCCAAGCAGTTGTATCGTATCGTCTTTTGCCCGATTTCCAATTGAACAGGTTGAACCGACCGGTACGATCCGGTTTTCTGGTCTATGGCTATAACTGTCACAAATGTGAAAGTTGTGGCTATGAAAGTGTATTTTGCCTAAAATAATTTTAACGTAAATTATGACGTGACATCTACGTGGCAAGCGAGGCTGAGCTGTCGCTGACGTGTGCGTCAACTTGGTATCTTAGTCATTGTGCCGTTAACCTAGCTAATGAAATCTCTAACACCGTTAAAGTTATTGTAACGAATATGACTAGATTTGTCAAACAATTATCAAAAATTTTTACTATTTCATGCATTTGAAAAATTGTGGCTATATAATATATCTAATCAGCGGCGGATCCAGGACATAGTAGAGCACTGGGCCACATTTCATTAAAACATAGATACCGTAAAAAAACCATAGCTTTTTTAACAATATCAATTGCACACATCGACCTTTTAATATAACGAATTTATCAATAAGGGAATCTACATCCATACCAATACCATACTCTCTTTCAAATAAAATAGTTAACCAATCGGCGAGAAATTCATCGCTCATTTTGTTGCGTAAATCATTTTCATCTGTTTCATTGTTAAAAAGCTTCTCTCCATAGTAGTTGTTGAAACGGACAATGTCAACACTAGACACATCAATCGACTAATCAATTTGTATTGTGTGTCCATCCTTATTTTCACCAGTTGCTCTAGTAATTTTTCAAGAGAACAAACTCATATTTCTTTAAGTCTTTTAGATTTTTAGAATTTTAGGTATCATTGTTTGTTTTTCTTTAGACGAGAATCATTCGAGTTAGAATTTCTAAGCTAAATTTAGAGTTGTGATTTGAATGTGTTCATTTGACCCATTTTCCTAATCACACACAATCTTATTATAAAATAACACTAGGCCAAATGATTAAAATCGATAAACTCATAAGGACTATACTAGTTCCGGATCCAGAGGAGGGCTGGGCCGTGGCCCGGGGTGGCCACCCCCTGGATCCGCCGTTGTATCTAATACAAACATGAAAGTTGTGGATATGGAATCCTATTTTACCTTCTTCTTTATTTTTATTTTTTCCACAAGGGCATTGAAGTGTCATGGGAGTCTGTTCCTCCATAGAAACTACTTTGCTATATTTTATGAAGTAAACTATATTTTACTCTCTCATCGAATTTATTGCACCTTTGATAGTTGCCAAAGGTTTCGCATTTAGAATTAGTCATTCTCTTAGCCATATCAAGCATGCATAGAATATTTTTCTGTCTAAGTTTTGAAATATCAAATTCACAAATCTTTTATTTAGCTTTCGTTTTTTTTTCTAGCTTCTACCATGTCTAGTTTTTTGTTAACTAAATCTTGACCTCCACTTTCTACCATTTTTTTGTTCACTCATACAATCTTCAGGAATGGTGAATACATTTTTCAACCAAAGCATTTACTTAATTATATTACTTCAACTTATAGATGTGCCAGATTTGTGGAATTTGAGTTTACATTGGAATTAGAAGACTTTTCGGTTTCCTATGGTCATTTATGAAGAAAATTACTTTCAATAAAGTTATAAGGATCAAAATGTAATTAAAATTAAGAATATTTTTGGCTAGACAGAAAATGGAATGGATGCAATTTTATTAGATTTTAGCGGAACTCGGCGACCTATTATAATTTAAGTGGTATGTCTACCTTATTCTCAAACTTGAGTAATGTGCAAGGTAGTTCTTATATATAAAGCACAAGTTCCGTTACTGTTGTCCAAACTCACTAGCTGATTGGGCGGTTGCATTTACATTTTTATACCCCAAATTTAATTAAATTACAACTTAGTCATTATAATGTATATTTTACATTTTGATACCCCGAATTTAATTTTAATGTAAATTTATTGAACAATTATGTTTTGGTATCTAAATTTTATGAGCTTTTCGTACCTATAATTTTTTTAAGTTTACATATTGGTCCAATATTTAGATTTCACTTGAATCCATGAATATAATCCACCAATCTTTTTGAATCAATCCATGAATCCAATCCACCATAACATAAAAGTACAAATTTAGTTTGTACCACACAAGATGTTGTATTACTCAAGTGTAGGAGAGGATTCGACCATTTTATATTTTCTCATCGTGAAACATTAAATAAATTATAAAAGAGAGACGACTCTAAAATATTACAAGAGCGATTTTATAAACTCATTTAGTACGTTTACGGGGTACTAAGCAAACTTCTACTAACTACATGTAACAAAATAGGCGATATCTACATAAACAAGTGTCAATAAATGCTACGGTGAAAATGGTTGACTGTTGTATTGACGGCCAACTAAAAGAATTGGTGAAAACCTTTCCATCATCTACTTACTTTTCGTTTCATTTTTCACTCGCTTGCAATAACCCTTTCTTTATTTCTTTCTTTACCTTCTTCGTCTAACCCTAATTAGTATACAATTTTTTATGTATTCTAATCACAAGTATGAACGGGTCCATACACGGCTTACCAACATTCTAGAGAATTAATAATTGAACCATGAACCACTCACTTATCAGCTCAATTAAAAATAAATGTATGTGGTTATTATTTATTAGAAAGTAATCAGTTTCCACTATGAGATTTGAGGCGTGAAATTTTAAACTAGTTCCAGTCTGTATTCATTTTGCTTCTTCATAAAGTTTTTCTATTTCACCCGAACTAGAACTTTCAACAATTATATATGAAATGTTTGGCTAGGTATCTACATATATAAAATAATAGTTTTCATTTTTCTATAAAAAATTAAATAATTTCATCTTGAATACACCACCATAAAGGAATTAAACCTCAACTATACAAATTACAGTTCGGTACCTAAACTTAGTAGATGTTTAGTTTTGTAACCTAAATTTATTTTTTTGGCACATAAGTCCTCAAAATATTGATGGAACATTACATTTTAGTATCTAAAGTTTTTGTGAATGACATTTTGGTGTATAAACTTTTGAAGTTCTACAAATATGTCTAATTTTTGTATGTGTAATTGAAACACCCCAGAATAAATGTGTATCCATACCCAACTCATACACATTTAGATTATGCAAGTAAATATCCATACCCTACCCAAACTCATCTACAAACTTTCAAACCCACATATACGTCACCCATACCCTACCCATAATCGATGAGTCTACTTGGGTTTAGGTAAATATAAATTCTTAGCCAAAATTTTCAATTTTTTTTTAAATTGGATGTTGACTGCCATATATCTCTTCTTAGTAAATATCATATTGTCAAGTCAATATTACTAACAAAACTGCTAACAAAAAATTAATTTTAGACTAATAATACTAACAAAATATCATAACAGACCATATAATACATGCTCATAGACCATCTATGCCAGGCGCAAGACGCGGCGACATCCACCTAGTTTACCCTAAAAATGAATGTGGAGAAAAGTAAATAAACCAATCACTAGACTTGTCATTTTATACAAATACCTCATATCACTAGGCCTTTTGTTCATTTCTAGTTCTTTGATTAAAACTTATATCCGAACTCGTTGTAGTTGCGAATGATTCATGCTTACTATGGATCCCCAATATTTTAAACTTCATGTTCACGCCTCAATTTGAAGTTAATACGTATTTTCCCCATAGTTTTTCCGGTATTATATTTGTGATTTAGCGTTTGTTAATTAATAACTTCAAAAGTTTTTTTACAATATATAACTTCAATAGTTGATACACCTAATTGAGAGTTATAAACCGTATTGGATGTTATATTAAAAAAGTCAGCGATAAGGTATTTAATGTTGAAATCGTAGTTTAATTATGGTTTAACCTTTCTATACCGCTAAATACTACTTATCGATTTAGCCTTTGGTAGGATGTTTTTCTGGGTGAACCGTCGGTACGGTACGAGTTTTCACTCCTTGAAATAGGGATGACAAAGGGCCGGGTTGGGTTATGCCAAATCTAGACCCAATCCAATATGTATATCCACCAAAAAAAAAAAAAGGAAAAAAATGCAATGGGTTCTCGAACCTCAAGCTCAACCCAACCCCACTGGGTATCCTCGGGTTTATGGATATCCATGGAATTTAGTGGACAAAATGGGCTAAATTACACGTTTGGTCACTTAAATTATATAAATCTTTCATATTTGCCACCCGAATTACTTTTCTTTCTAATTAGCCACTAACTTTACAAATCGTTTCACCATTAGTCTCTGTCATTAGTCTTTGTTAACCTCCGTTAACTCGGTCAGTTTTTTTTATGACTTGGTCAACGAGACTACTGATTGGACCGTTAACTTAATGACATGTCACAATAAAACAAAAAAATTGACATGCCATGAGTATGTTTTTGACAGGCAGAGGAGGATAATAAACCAGAGTTCTCGCCAACAAACGCTGCCACATCAATGCTTCGGCCACAGGAAGAGAGAAGGAGTTCGGTCGTTGGTCAAGTAGTCGAGGAGATCAAGCTAAGGGGAATATGTGCCTATCGTTCGTCAGTCATGGAGGCATTTTGCCTGTCTCTAGCTGCCACAACAAGCTAATCAAGATTGATGGTGTGGGGAAAGATCTGGAGGTTGTTCCTTTTCCCACATTAATCGTGTCGATGAAGAAATCGGAGAAGAAGGCGAAAAAGGTTGTAAATCGATGGTCGATAACCTTCCGGATCTCGCCGCCGATATACCGTGGGAATTTTTTTGTGGGAGTGAGGGGAGGGGACCATGGAGTCACCAAAAGTCGAGGAGTCAAGGTTGCCGACTACGACGATCTCTTTTTAGTCAAAATAAAAGTCTAATACTAATTTGTCCATAGAAATGATTCATACAAAAAACACCAATCTATTAAATACAAACAAAACCCATAAATTATTTATACATATTGTTCAATATTAAAAGTAGACATCCACAAACAACACGGCTAACCGACGGGTTGTGAGAGTATGAGTGTGGGTGGGTATCCATGAGTTGGATACACTTAAATTCGAATCCAATCCAACCATTGAATAGTGCAGCGGGTTTCAACCCGAACCCAACCCATATTTCATCAATATAGATTTTACTCGCTTTAATCGGGTTGAATAGAGTAGTATGAATTCCGATTTTGTTGCCATCACTATGTTGAAAATTGAAACAAACATATGAGTTATGACCGCGCTGGGAGGAGAGGAACCTCTTTCTGATATTGTTGGGCTTTAGCTGAGTGGGCCTTTTATGAAAAGCTCATCAGCCCAAGTAGTCCATGGCATGCAATGCAAGTCAAAAATGCAGGGACGGAGCAACTTGCTTCATCACTCCCCGACCTGGCGACCTCTAAACCCTAAAACCCTTAAAGCTTCCATCCGCTAGAGCCTATAAGTATAAGACCCTCGCCCGCCTCCAAATTGACAGAGCACACGAAACCTAGCCCCAATCTCGTTCGTTTACTGTTCTAATCGAGCTACAATGGCACCTCCAAGAGGTATATTCCCCTTCTTGATTACCGCTGTATCGTGGAGTTCAGCTCTTTACTTAGCTCTGCTCGTGTTCCCCTGGTTTTGAATTGGATGGAAATTAAGAGATTTTTTCTCGTTTTGTAACATGCAGGAAGATCCGGTGGTTTCAGAGGTGGAAGGGGCGGTGATAGCGGCGGCCGAGGAAGGGGCGGCGGCCGCGGCGGCGGTAGATTCGGTGACCGGGGCGGGAGTGGGATGAAGCCCCGTGGCGGAGGTCGCGGCGGTTTCGGCGGCCGTGGTGGAGGGAGGGGTCGTGGCGGTGGCCGTGGAGGCGGCGGGATGAAAGGTGGGAGCAAAGTTGTGGTTGAGCCTCATAGACACGAAGGTGTGTTTATTGCCAAGGGGAAAGAAGATGCTCTTGTTACAAAGAATCTTGTTCCTGGCGAGGCTGTCTACAATGAGAAGAGGGTATCTGTGCAGGTCAGTATCTTCGCCCTCACCGACTCCCCACTTATAGTTATTTGACTGAGGTGTTAGTTTTTGTTCTAAAGGTTTGATCTTTATCTTTTGTTTTACCTCAGAATGAAGATGGGACTAAGGTTGAGTACAGGGTTTGGAACCCCTTCAGGTCGAAGTTGGCAGCTGCAATCCTCGGTGGTGTTGATAATATCTGGATTGTAAGCAACTGTTTACTGCTTCCATTTGATTTGATCATCCAATTATTCGTCTGTCTTGCTTATGAACTTGTAGTGATTAAGGTGGTGTTCTTTAATGATGGCAGAAACCAGGTGCTAAGGTTCTCTACCTTGGAGCTGCATCAGGAACTACTGTGTCTCACGTGTCAGATCTTGTTGGCCCCGTAAGTTTTTTTTTGTTTTTATTGAACGGGGTTTGAGGTATGCTTTTTCATTTATGGTTTAGTTTGCTGATGAACTGTGATGGTATTTATGCAGACTGGAGTGGTTTATGCAGTGGAGTTTTCACATAGAAGTGGTAGGGATTTGGTGAACATGGCTAAAAAGCGCACAAATGTTATTCCTATCATTGAAGATGCTAGGCATCCAGCCAAGTACCGCATGCTAGTAGGCATGGTTGATGTCATATTTTCTGATGTTGCTCAACCTGATCAGGTTTGCCCTTTTTATCTGTTTCAACATCTGTACGAGTTCTCATTTGGTAACCATTCGAGAGATCTCTTAGACGACCCTTTAGATAATCCTATGGCCGCTGTTTTATTCTTAAACTGGCCTGGTGTTAGTTATTCTAGATTGACATATCTTGGTTCGAACTTTTCTTTGAAAATAAAGTATTTCTTTTGGCTTTTTGTCTGTGAATTATGTTGTCTTGCAAATGAAGAGACTTCACTCGGATTCCCCTACACGACTTATGGAGTGATGAAAACACGAGTTTCTGATGCAATCTTCAATAGTTATCTCTATTCTATTCAGCAATCCGTTTCTGTGTTTTCTTTGTTTCCAACTACTGTAGTGTTGTAATCCTGCATATGACGAGGTACTCGGATTCCCCTTCCAGTCATCTTAAGTGATGCAGGGTCCGAGTTGCTGATGCTGAAAAGGGATTCATCATTCTTTTACAAAATCAGTTCTTTGAAATTAGCAACTCCTTTTACTGTGTATCCATACATGTATTTTTCTCTGCTGGATTGTGTTTTCCATTTACAAACTCAATGCGCATTGCGTATGCATCTATGCTAATAGCCCAACTTTTGTAAATGTTGGTTGGTACCATGTAATTTTGTTTCAGCGTACTTCGTATTGAATCTTCTGCAATTGTCTATAGCACCCCTTATAAAACTCTCGTTATTGGGTTAGCCTATGCTGTCTGGTGGGGTGCTGGTATTTTGTTTGCCGTTTGTCGAGGAATATAGTGTAAGCCTTGTAAATTTATGGTGTCATTGTCTGTTTAATTTTGATTGTGCAGGCTAGGATTCTAGCGCTGAACGCATCTTACTTCTTGAAGGCTGGTGGTCACTTTGTCATCTCTATCAAGGTTGGTCCTGATTCTCTCGAGCCTTTTCCTGCCAGCTAGAAATAGCCAGCAAGTAATCGTGAACACGAACTGACATTAATGCAATCTTTCATTGTTGATTCAGGCAAACTGCATTGACTCCACAGTGCCGGCAGAGGCAGTGTTTGAGAGTGAAGTGAAGAAGATGACACAGGAGCAATTCAAGCCTGCCGAGCAGGTGACACTGGAGCCATTTGAGAGAGACCACGCGTGTGTCATTGGTGCTTATCGTGTTCCTAAGAAGCAGAAAGCTTGAAGTCTTTTTCCTGGACCTGTAGTATTTCGATATCTTGAGATCCTTGATGACTTTGTAGCTTAGATAGCTTGCATGCCCCCTTGTTGTTGGGGCCTTGTATTATTTTTTATAACTACTGCTCCTTTGGTGCGAGTCAGAATTTTGTGGGATGAAAAGCTGGTCTGCCTAAGTTATATATTTTGTGCCAACTATATAAGCATTTGTGCCTATGCAATTCTCCTCTTATGCGAAAATATGATTGAAGGAAAGTGAAAACTGTTTAACAGGCAGCGCTTATTACAGAATATAAAACGCGACTGATGCGATTAAAAGCAATAAAAATTTGTTGACCTGAACAAAGCAAGCCTACAGAATATAAAAATTTGTTGCTGCTATCATTTCTTCCTGAATTCTCAGGAGTCAACAATAAAATCAGAGCATTAAAGAACATAATTTATAAAATGAAGAACTGATTTTGTTGCTTCTCAAAAGACACTAGTTCATGACTATGATTCTCAAATTAAAAGTGTAGCTTAGCAAACCTTCAAAGCAACCCAAGTACATGGTAAGAGAGTATATTTGTTGACCTGAACAAAGCAAGCCTACAGAATATATAACGCGACTGATGCGATTAAAAGCAATAAAAATTTGTCAGAAGTGGGATTTGAACCCACGCCCTCTTTCGAAGACCAGAACTTGAGTCTGGCGCCTGAAAAATACGTGGTTAAGACTAGGACTAGCTGTTCGCTGCTCACTCCTTCCACAAAAACAAACAATTGGCGACTACTCTCTAGACTGTTTCCCTATGCATCTAAACATCGAAGGTAACAGTTCCAAGCTGCTAAAAAAAAAAAAAAAAATGGAGGGAACTTCTAGAGGACTAATCAAAATCTGGCTTTCAGGTTGCAGTGGAGTGATCAGTCCTTTTCAGTTCATCATTCCACATTCAGTGTTTTTTCCCTGAACTCATCATCTTCACACAGCTCCAGTGATCTTCCCCCGACGATCACCACCGGTTTCCTGCCCACCCCACTTCTTCATTCTCTCTGTTGTTTGCTCCACCTGCAAAGCACCCAAGTTTTCCTTACTGCAACATTCAACCAGAGATGAAAATGGAGAGGTACAAGGCAGAAAAATTAGTCTCAGTTTGTTTACCTCTTTGTTCCAGTTTGTTCTGTAGAGGATGAATAAGAGAATCAGAGTTTGCAATGCCGTCCCTGCTATCATTCCTCCCCAAATCCCCTATCAAACAACCAAACAAGCTAAGCATAGCATAAAAACTCCCCCAGCTTTTGGAGCAAAGATGCCCAATGAAAGGGAAGAACTTTTGTAGGTACCGTGACACCCAAGTTAAGCTTGTAACCCAGCAGAAACCCTAGAGGCACCCCAAATACATAATAGCAGAATATGTTGATGTAGGCTACCAGACCTTGCCACCCAGCACCAATTGCCACACCTGATTTTTTGCCAACGGTTTTAAGAGATTTCTGCAACGGAGTAGTCGATCTAGCCATTGTAGAAGGAGATTGGTGCTACCCTTACCTGAGATGACAGGCTGAACACTGTTGAGAACCATGGTGATGCCTAGCAGGAATGCTAGCTTAGACACAGCTCTTTGCATCTCCTGGCTGTTGGTGAAAATTATGGCAAAGTAGTCCTTCGATATAAGCACAACGACCATGGATAACAACCCGATCAGGAAGGACTGGACGATAACGATGTAGACCGCGTATTTCGCTGCCCTAGGACGTCCTGCTCCGAGCTCATTAGAGACACGAACACTGGACAACCATCAAGGAAAACAACAACAACAACACAACATCAATCAACCTCAATTGGGTCCTCCTCCCCATTCCGCCCTTTGCTTGATTGGTAAGCAAGAATCGACGGTGAAACAATCAAATCATCAACCGATAAAAACATTCGCGTTTAGTTTTTACCTTATAGCTATATTGATACCAATGAACAGCATTGCTTCCCAGCCATTGATATTCATACTGCCAATGAACAGAGTTATCAATTACAAGAAAGGCACCATTTCTGTTCATCAAACAAGAGCACTGCACATCCAGCACAAGAATTGAACAAATGGGTGCTCATCACTCACCATATAGAAAGCGAACCAACGGCAATGACAGCGTTGTCGAGATGGCCAGTAAGAACATTGATGCTCATAAAGTACCAAACCTCGAGGCAGAGCATGACAGCAGAGGCGATGGAGAGCCTGACGAAGCTCCACATGTCCCTGAACGCGGCCCACGAAAGCCCAGTCCATCCTTCATCGCACCAGCGGACCACATAAACGACTTGGGCTACGGCAATTCCCCAGCTGGTCACGTTGTAGGCCACGGCGGCACCCGTCGTCCCCCAGCCCAGCCCAAAGATGAGGAGCCAGAGCAATGCGACCTGCACGATCAGGGCCACGAGGGCAATCCAGGCCAGAGCGTTGACCTTGCTCTGGGCCTGGAGGAACTTCTGGGCCGGGAAAGTTATGGCGAGTGAGAACAGCTGTGGGATTGTCTGCACGGTGAATCTTCCGGCTAAGTTGGCGATCTCTTCTTCTTGGCCCAGTAGCTTGAGGATTGGAGAGGCGAAGAAGAAGATGGGGAGGAGGAAGAGACAGGAGACTAAGAGGATTATCCATGATCTTTGCATGTAGATGCCTAGCATGTGAACTTGTCCGGCTCCGAAAGCTTGACCGCAGAGCGTCTCCAATGCGCTGCCCATGCCCAACTGTTATTTTCGTACGGCGTATTAGCGGAATTCGGGAATCCGAACTCGCTCACTAATCAGAATACGCAGCTCAATTCTCACTTTTTAGAGTTTTTCTTGGATTTTCTCAAGAACACAAAAATAAAAGGATAGAATGGAAAATGATTGTCGTGCAACTTCAACAAACGAGAAGAGGCTCGAACAATATCAAGATAGATGACCGACCACGATCACGGGGAATACTTGATCGATACAGAGCTTAACGAGTTTGGAATCCACGAAACTCACATTCAAGAGTAAACACTCAAGAACATAAGAGTTTTTTTATTAATCAAAGTCCGAATATTCTGAATAGTCTACTAAAATTTGTGGCTTATAACCTTTTAAATAGGTATGGAAAATAAACCTAATAAAAACACCAAAAAGAAAAAGAATTCTAAACGAAAAAAGTAATAAAAATCGGCAGGACCGGAAATCCGGAAAAAATACCCGGTCGGGTATTTTGCATCACTGGCCGGAGAAAATTCCTGGACCCAAAACCCGAACTCCTACCTTGATTCCCTGGTCGAGGAATTGTTAGTTTCTCGGCGGGCTTCTCTGCTGGACGAACTCACATCACATGCTAATTACCGTATGGATTTGAATTTTACGGATATTTAATGTAAGAATTCTTTGTATATAGATTATGAATTCAGAATAATATTCAAAGAAAATTTTCGCAATCGACTCATTTGTTTGACCTAAATTTGATTTATTTTGAGTAATTTGGACCTGAAATGATCTTATTATACATAATCCATTAACGATCACCTGTGGTTAAGAAAAAAATTAATTTTTGGGCTAAGAAATATGCGCTTTTTTGACAACTAAGAGAAGGAGAGGAGAATAAAATCCAACAAATTCCACTTTCCAGCAGTCACTCACTCACCAAGAACCCGAAGACGAAAGTGCCGATGACCGAGAGGGAAATGGACACGCCGGAGAGCTCGACGTTGCCGATGTGCCCGACGAACATGACCGTGACGGAGTTGAGCCCGAACTGGCACACCGTGTTGAAGGCAATCGGCCCGGCGATCCTCCACAGCTTCTGCGTCTCCGTCCAGAACACCGACCGCAGCTCCGGCCAAGTCCTGACGGCGGCGTAGTCGCCATCCTCGCCGGCGATCAGCGGCGCCTCCATGACTGGAGCGGTGGGATAGCTAGAAAAGGCAAGAAGAGGCTGAAGTATTGCTGAGGATTGGAGAGCTCTAGAGGCAAACTACTGTTGGTTATAAATGGCGAAGAGAGACGCAAAATTGTGATTGGGGACCAAGGCAAGAAGTAGCATTGCGATGGGCGCGAGGATGGCTCCGCATTTATTTAATTTCTGCGTGCCCCATGTCAAGTTGGGGGTAAGGTCCGGAAAGGCCCTATGATTAGGTACCGGCTCGAATTCGAACAAATTTTGTCAAGAAAAATCCGACAGATATTTTTGTTAGGGTTTTAGTTTTACGAACACGTCCTAAGACGTACCGAACACATCCTAATACGTATTATAAGTTATAAATATATTCTAGCTCACTCACTCGCTCACTTAAGCACTAACAAATTATGGGTTCATTTGACGGTTAACCACTGAAAATAACAACCTTCTTTCACAAATCATCTTATTTTTTAATTTTCCCACTTTCCTCTTCTTCATTTTATCCGTCTTCGGGACATTGGATGGGAAAAAGAAACACAATCTTTATTGGGATTATTAATAGCGGCTGGGATTTGGAACATTTTTAAAATTTGCAAACCTCCCACAATGTTTTGTTTTGTCTTTTTGGGTAATAATAATAAAGACATAGACATCGATAGATATTGATTTATGTCACCATCTAACTAGCTATCAATATGAATTCCCATGGCAAAAATAACTTCCTTTCTCCTAATACAATAGTTCTCAAAAAGTCAGGGAACTAGAAGAACTGCCCACAGAAGGAAATCCTTTACATTATCGTCCTCAAAAGCTTTCATTTTCTTCTCCCCTGTTTTCAAGCTCCATTGAACTTCTTCTCCTGACGGTCACCGTTGATTCCATGGCAAACCCATTTCTTCATTTGTTCTGTTGTTTGCTCCACCTTCAAGATCATCACCCAATTTTGTACCTTCATACTCAGCAAGAGATGACGAAATGTGAGAGATGGAAAGTGAAACCAATTAGTTTATACTTCTTACCTCTTTGTTCCAGAGGATGAACAAGAGTATCAGAGTCTGCAACGCCGTCCCTGCAATCATCCCTCCCCATATCCCCTGCCACAACGTTCAAACAAAGCATCGATGAATCCACATGAACGATCGAGGGTGTCGAATATGATGAACAGAAGAAGGGCGGGTTTTCATTGTTGGTACCGTGACACCCAAGTTAAATTTGTAGCCGAGGAGAAACCCTAGTGGCAGCCCGAATACATGGTAGCAGAATATGTTGATGTATGTTAGAAACAAGGTTTCTAACGAGATTGGGAATTGGGAAATTAGATAGATCAATTAGGGATTGATCTAGCTAGGGATTGGGAATTGGGATAATTGAGAACAAGGGAGAGGGAATGAGCTGTTGTTGTCGCAGCTTATGGGAAAGAAGAGAGGGAG